CCGCCGCCGCCGCGAGAATAATATCTGATAATATATTATTGTACTATTGTATACACGCGCCGTCATACCACCAATATTAATTTTAAATACGTATATGTTACACATACGTACGTAGGAATCTCTATATATGTTTATTATAACACCGCGAGTGTGGCATTACTGAAATTAAAACATTATGATGATAATATTATATAAGTGTATATTTTTTATTATTTTTTTTTTTTTTTTATATTATTTTATTATTTATTTTAAACACTAGATATACTCTTATTTGTATAAAACAACAACAAAAAAAATAAATAAACTATTACTCGGCAAATCATGATATACCTAATTACGTATTACACTAATTTTTATATTATTATTATTATTATTATTATATAATCGTCATCATTATCAATTATTATTATTATTATTATTATTATTATTATTGTATTTTCGTCTATATATGAAATAAATGTATTGGAATGAAAGAATAAACTACAGACAAAAATATAAAAACAAACGTTTTATTTTTTTTTTTTCACTAAGTGGTTTTTGTGGTCGTAACAACGAGACGTGCTGAGTAAGCGTCGCAGCGCGAGCGCGTGATGTCTGAGTTATACGGACACGCTGCGCGCCGCGCGATTTTTCTCTACCTCCACTCGGCGTCGAACGCATCGGCGGCGTGGTCTCGGCCGCGCGCGTTTCCTCCACACTATCTCCGCGGCCGCCTCCGTTCCCCCCCCCCCCTCCGACCCCACCCCCGCCACGACCACACGATTGTTGCGCCGCGAGCACGGAGCCACTGCGCGCACACACGACGCGACGCGCACTCCGTCGCAGCGGCGGAAGACTCGTTTTCATTATCGGTTGATATTATTATTTAGATAATAATAATAATAATAATAATAATAGTAATAGTAATAGTAATAGTAATAATAATAATAAAATGTATTAAATATTATAATTTTTTTTTTTGTATGCGCACCGCGTCGTGTTTCGTGATGCTGCCGTCGAGCGTTTTGTATACCGCCGCACAACCGTGATTAGAGATTAGTAGATTAGTTTTTTTGTACGTACGTGTGTGCGCGCGATTGTGCGCGTGTTATTAGATATTTTTTAATTGCCACCGCGTTATTATAACACGGTCCGTTGGACGAACAAATTTTTTTATAACGCACACGCACACGCAAACGCGATAATAACTATTGAATAATGTGTCGCTATGCACAATATTGACTTGTAATCCACGCGTGTGTACACGACACGCACGGTATACGTTCGGTGTTTCGATAAGTTTCGGCTTCTTTGATTCTGTACGATGCGCCGTTGTCAATGTCCGTTTTCATCGCGTAGCCGTCGTTGTCGCCGTCAAGTTCATTCCGTTTCGTAGTCGCGAGGTGCCCGCTCGCGTCGTTGCGTTCCGCCGCGCGTTGCACGTCCGATGAAAAAGCTCTGAGCGCCGTCGTCTCGTCGCGTTCAAATGGAATCCATTGGCCGTTCCGCTATCATGGGTAGCAACACCAACACGGCGGTGTCCACCATTGCCAACGCTACCTCGTCGGCCGTCGTCGGGCTCCTGCTGTCGCACACCAGACCTTCGGTGGCGACCATTTCGAGCAACACGAAGACCACCGGACTGTGTCACAACGGCAACCAGAGAATGCCACTGCAACACTGCGCCAACGGTAGCAACGTCATACAACATCACCAATATACGCCTATACTAGTGGCGTCGCAGCCGCCGACTTTGGTACCGATACATTCTGCTCAGACCGGTTCAATGTTGCCTGCGTCGCCTCAGCTAATGCTGTCGACAGCGACTGTCACCACTTCAGGAGTAATACCGCAGTTTCAACAGCACAATGGACCACATCAATTGGTCACTGCTGCTGCGGCACCTGTATCCGTCACCCCCATAGCCATGCCCTCCTCAAACGTTACCTCCGTTGGCATGGCGTTGAGTCCCTTTGGTATATTGCCACACGAGCGTGTGGTACCACACAACACTCATCATCGTCACCAGCACAGAAAACTACAGTGTCCACAGTCTTCTAAAATCATTATGGACAACACTAACAACACTAGTGGCACGCAAATATTAACTGCACCAGCCGTCAATTCGCAGCGTTTTTATATCGAACCGACTCATCCCAGTAATAAAATTAAACAATACGACAGCATTCAGCCACAGGCGCAGGCACAACCGCAGCCGCAGCCACAGTCACAGCCACAGCATAGAATCAAAATTGTCAATAGCATTTCTGATAAAAGTCTGCCAGTGGTATCCAATGCGTATGTCCCACAACCCTATGAACAACGTTACCAACCAAGAACTGCGCCTCAACAAGTAGGTTATTTGTCTGTTATTACTCGTACAGCAGTGCCAACGACTAATGGTGTGATGAATGACATAACAGCAAACAATAATTATTACCAAGCACAGCCTTTACCGTTACAATCGAAGACTCCTGATAATCATGACAGACAATATTACCATTTCGACAATACGGTCTCTGCTAGCCAAACACCTCAACAGCAACTGGACAACATTTTACTAATGGGAACTCCAGTTCAACGTGGTGATCCTATGCATATTGTTAAAAATTTACAATCCATGCAGACTGATATTGATTGTTATGGTGTTAAAAAAATGATTGACCAACAACCTAGGTTAATGGCTACTGACAATGGTAAAACTATTTCACCAACAAATTTGTTAGGTAATAATAATAATAAATGTTTAATCGAGCATCAGCATCAGCATCTCCAACAGTTGCCTAAATCTGCTTTAATTGACCCGTCATCATCCTACAGTGATCAATATTTCAATAGACGTCAGCCACCTCCTGCACATCTTCATCACCATCATAATCAATCACATTTACAGCAACATATTGTCACTGGTAATGCCAAAATGTTACCCACACCTACATCTCTAACTGTTGTTTCTGCTAATGGAAATACATATTTAGATGTACAGCAGCACCAACGTAACCATCGTTGGAATTTGGACCATCAAAAACCACCCATTGTATCAACTTCATCATGTTTTACTGGAAATATTTCTTCTGGGATATTTCATCAGCCATCACTGCATCAGCACCATCATCAACAACAATATAACAACACAGTTCAATCATTTAATGTTCAACCACCTCCGACAAGTGTTAATCATCAACATCAACATGTTTCACAACCAACCCATCATAATAATTTTACTGTGTCATCAGTAGATCCAACGTATTATAGTCCTACAACTACAATGGTTTCACCTACTGTCACTTCTGTAACCACAACTAGTCCATCATTAGCATTATACAATCAAACACAGAATAATAATCAAAGACAACATAATAACATTTTTCAAGACTTCAGTAATAATTTGCAAGGTGGGAGTTATGTTGTAAATGATGATAACAAACCATTATGTTTGCCACATGTTGTCGTCCCTAATATTGAAGAGGAATTGCGTCACCTTTGTGATGACTCTACTACTACTACTACTACTACTACTACTACAACTGATACCGAGACAACTGTTACTACTACTATTACTACTACAACTACTTCTACTACTACTAGGGTTAAACCGTTAAATATAATTACTCAAAAACCTTCATTTATTGATAGTTATATTAAATTTATACATGGTGGTACAAGCGGTATGGCTGAAAAACCAGAAGATGAATGTAATGATAAATCAAAAAAATTATCAACACTATTATTGTCATCATCACCAAAACCCATATCTAAGCCTTATGTGCCTTTGCCAAAACCAAAAGTCTTAACAACAACTGAACAGACCTCTCGTAATGGTTCTGGTGAAGATATTAAAAAGACAAATAATGTTACAACAACAACAACAGATGACGATCCACGATATTTTCCATTGCCTAAAACTTCATCGATCGCCGGTTTAAGTGACGATAGAAGTGATGGTAGTAATGGTGAAAACAGTTGGTTGTCAGATGACGAACAAGATCAATGGTGGATATCTTCTTCAAAAGCATCTAGTAATACAACAGCAACATCAGTGATAAAAAATAAAGTAGATGTCTTTAGCAAAAAAAAAAATAGTGGCACCACGAAAAGAAAACGAACTAATACTGTTGTACCAATCAAAAAACAAAGTATGCAAAAATCATGAATTATTATTGTTTACATTTTTCTAATTCTTTTTTTTTTAATTTTAGAAACATATCATAATATACAACAACCTAAAAGACAATTATCTCACCGATTGGCTAAAGAAAAATCTCAACAATTGCTTAGCAGTTTAAATGGTGAATTGGATGTAGATGATAACGATGCTTTATCAGATACTGATTCTGATGTTGACCCAGCTTGGAGACCAAACAATGATGATAATGACATACCTAAAATTTCCAATTCAATGAATAGTCGTCATAAAAAGTACTCAAAAGAGCAAAATTCAAATAATAGTCATTCACCATCAACCTCATCTTCAATCAATAATAATAATAACGATCATCTAGATGACTCAACAGTCTTTAAGGTATAATATTTTGTTTAATTTTAATGGCTTATTTTTTATTTATTTTGTGATTAATTTCATATAGTCTGGTACATTTGTTGCCCTAAAACGTCAATTTTTGGATAATGAACATGTATATCCACAACATTTATGGAGAGTTGACGGAAAATCATTGTTACAAAAATTTACACGATGCAATGAAAATAATATGTACAAGAGTGTATCAACTGTGAGTAAGAAAGTAAAAACAAAAGTAAATAACATTAATTAATGTGATATATTATATTTTAGTATACTGGTTGGAGTCCATCACATTATAATATGTATCGTCAAGTTGATGTTAAAATTATTACATCAGAGAATAGTGATAATAGCATTCCAAATAAATCATCAACCATTGAAATTTTGGTACAATTATTACCTGGCAATAGCAACAAACCTGTTAAAAATAATTCTATTGTCAAGACTACTAGTTCTACTTATAACCACATCTCTAAATTAAAAGTTGATGCGATCAATTCTAATTTGTCTACAAACTCTTTTGTGGATGAGCAAAGCGTGATGCTACGTACCAATTTTGATGTGTATATCCAATCATTAGCATCACAAGCACTGGACTCAAATTTTCTTGAAGAAATTTACCGTGAGAAAGGTAAGATCTTAATATGCTTAATAAATAATCATAAACTGATGTTTTTTTTTTTTTTTTTTAATAGATCAGTACTTTTTAAGCAATCTCAGTGCTATTGAAACAGTAACAGAAACTTGGAAGAAAACAATAGATTCTACAATGTTTAAAGATGTAGTAACAGATTTGTCCAAAGTAGAAAATGTATGGATAATTATTGCTAAGTATCCAAACATGGAAATTAATTCGTTAGATGAAAAATCAAGGAATAATATCAATTTGCGCTGTTTGGTATGTGGCAATCAGGAATTAGTGAAGAAACAACAGAAAGAGTTTGTCGAGATATGTCTATCTGGTATGGAGTACAGTTCTCAGACATTAAAAAATATTAATTCTAATACATTTTCCAAGGTAAATATTAAAACAATAAATTACTACATTTATTTTACTGATTTAAAATTTAAAATAATTTTGTAAATTATTACTTATAGGCCACGCCAGTAAAGCGATTTCATTGCTGTTCTAGCGCTCAGTGCGTAGACAAATTAACTATCTTACATAGTCTTGAACACCTGAAATATTATATTTACAAAGAATGTTGCAAACGTGTTACTGCTGAAAGCGAAAATAGCTGTAATGATTCAACTCGTGACACAACCAATGTTTTAAACCGATTATTAGCTGATGACGAATGGATCGAAAAAGTAAGATTATAATACTATACAATACAAATATAACGATAACAATTTTAATAATTATAATCAAATGTTTATAGCTGTTTAATTTGGTATGCAATACATGGTCACAAGCTAAAAGTTTTGTTTCAAAAAACCAATCAAATTGCAGAGCAGTTTCGTCTTAGTAATTTTATTGGTATAATGTATATTTTAGGTATACGATATTTTTTAAAATATAATGGTTTACTACTGAAATAGCCATTGTCATATCATAGTACCAACAGCCTTTGTTAAATATTTAGTGCCTTTATCCATTTTATTATTGCCATTGTTAAATTTTGTATTATATCCAAATTATTTCTAAAAGGTTACCTTTGTACTTTTGACAGTTAAATATTTTATTTTTTTACAACATTATACACTTTGTATTTGTTATTTGTTTTCATAAACAAATCATGTGTTGTCATAATTTTAGTATGCTTACATGCGTATATGTATGTATATGTTACCATAAAAGACTGTTTACTTGTCATAACCAATGGCGCAATTTCAATAATAAAAAAAAAAAAAAAAAATGGGGTTGATAAGCGCCCTCAAGCCCTCCACATTGCGCCTATGGTCTTAACCTCAATTTAATCAATGTACTTTGGTATTTAATAATATTACTAAACTGTGTTAGTTAAAGAACATTGACTCAAATTTATAGTGAATTTGTATCTTGGAAACAATTTGATTTTTAAAAATAAATATAAACTTATTAATTAAATTATAATTATCAATATTTATTTTCATACTTTTTGTTTTTAAAATTATACAATTTAATTTTTATATTACATTTTCACATATTCATTGATATATGAAAAACATAATTTGGTCATATAAATAGAATTATGCATTAATAAGTTAATATAATTATTTGTTGGGGGATTGTCCCATAATATTTATATTAAACTTATTACATTTAAATTAAGTTTTATTTCTGATTCTGACTATACCCTATTAAGTTAAGAGACACACTTTATGATAGCAGGCCCAGACTGGCTGGGCGGCTGTGCTACTGTTCTATAGCACAAAAGGCCGCATCCCTCGATTTTGTAATGAACTACTTGAGTTTAATGATGAGCAAAAAAAAAGGTATTTTTTATATTGTTTCTATGGATGCCTCTTCACTGAGAATAGTAGGCCGGTATCCTCCCAGTCTGGGCCTGCATGGCAGACATGTATTTCAGTCATAAATAAAACTTTGCAGGAATTACAGACTGTCATTGTCAGACTGAGTCCAACAAAAATTGGTTACCACTGAGTATATTTCTTAACTTGAATAGCGTATAGTAGCCTCATTATGTGCATAAATAATAAATGTAATCCTAATCTTTCACAATGATGAGAGATGGAGTGTTGGACTATCCATATTGTGCTGTGGTCAAGCTTAATATTAAACACACAAATTAATTTTGAGTTATAGATACAAAATTTGTTTTTATTATTATTTAAATTAAGAATAGTGTCCTATATTTTTTAGTATTTCGTAAAAGTGATGTATAATTTTTATGTAAAAAAAAAAAAAACGTTAAATCTATATTTTAAATGTACTGAGTTCATGAAGCTTATAAATAAATCCCAATTCTATATATTGTACATCCACTTTTAATGTGATATTGTAATATTTTATTATATTATCCTTTTAAAATGACCTATTTATTGACAAAAATAAGTTGATATTTTGATATGATTGTAACTATCAGAAAGTTAAGGTTCTGATGTAATACTAAATTTGACCAAAAATATGTATTTGAGTTTATATAACCATAATCAGCAAATCTAAATTGTAATAGTTCACTATTAGGTTAAACAAGTGAATGGCCTTTAATGTTGGCGATTGACATAATACACATAATATGTATATATGATATATATTTACTAAAAAAAAAATATTGATTGAAATATATAAGTTATAAAAAAACTCAAATGTATTGTTATTACCTTATAGTCAACATCTGTGTAGTCAAAAATTTTTATTTAAAAAAAAAACTCATTAGAAAACATTCTCGCATACATTGTTTCCGTCTCAAGTACACCTGATATAGCAATTTATATGTTCTGAATAAGATTTAACTCTATTATGATGAATATTAGAGAAAATTGACTAATTTTAAAATAGAAATACTATCGAGTGAATCATAAATTTTAATGTTCATTTTGGGTCATACACATTTTAAAATTTTAAATTGTTTGTTTTTTATTCAAAATTTATATTAAAAAAAAAAAAATTAAAAGATTTGTCAGACAATATTTTTGTTTTTCAATTTAAGATTTTAATTGTTTTTTTCTAAGAACATGTGTTCCATTATCAAAAATTATACCTATAACTATATAAGTATGATTTTAACAATAATTTTTGCTTTGATATATTTTAGTATACAACTTTCCCAAGTATTGCAAATATTTTTATTTATACTATAAGTTAGGTACCAAATACCAATAATCCATTTATACGCTTAACCAATAACACTTTCAATATTGCACAAGTTCAGATTTATTCACTGCATACTGTCCACAAGTAATTCAAAAATAAGAATCTTTTAAAAGATTGAAGAACACTTAAGTAAGTTACCTACCAATCAGCAATCGGTCTTCGAGACATCTTTTTTCTTCATTTATTTAATAAAAAAAAAAAAAAATATTTAATATTGTAGTATACTAAAAATCCAACGTCAGAGCTCTAATAATTACTTCAAAAAGAAACTTCGCTATTAGTGAATATTAGTATTGTTCTACTGCATTTTAAGTGTGTTCTGTATGTCTGCGTAATACTGCAAGTAGTAATAATGTTTTTGGTTTACTCGTCACTACTTACATAGATTACGAATTACAATCAATGTTACTCACTACGGTATCATTGTGCTTATTGCAAGCCTTACAGCGACATCTATCAATGATACTGAATAATATGTCTATCACAAATTCACCACTAAAATGCGTATTGTTATAGAAAAAATTAAATAATAATATTAATATGTCTACAATACAAATACGTTTTTTATGCGAGATATCTCACTATCTCAGTTAATGCCAGTGGTGTACACATTTTTTTAAATTATTAACTTAATACTTAATGTTTAAATTACTATTATTTTTTAAAGTTGGATTATATTCGTGTTGTGACGTAAAGAGGCTAACATCTACTTTTAACATTTATGTAAAATTACATTTTTGTAATAAACAGTTTTTAAACTGAGAACATTTAAATCCTTGCATAAATTGTTTGTCGGATAAGACAAGCTTCTTAAGTATAATTTCAATTAATGTGTGTATTGTCACTTCCAGGTTAATCAGATGTTGGTACTTATATAAAAAATTTCACTTCAGACTACTATACAATGACTTATTATAGATTGAATAAGGAGAGTAAACCACTTTTAACATCTATGAGTTTATTAAACATCTTGATGACCTGAAAGCATAATAATAGTTTTTGGTTTGATGTTGAAATATGTGTTGTACGTGGTTAGACCATTTGCACTTTTCATCAACAATTAATAATGCATTAATGCCTTAGTATTTAATTACTTCTATATTATAAATGCTTGCACGACAGCAGTTATCATTCAGTGAACAGTTAAAATGATGAATTATTAATGAAGAATTGAGGCCGTTTGTTGCATTTGATATACAGAAATGAATATTAGTAGATTTTTTAATGTTATGTTCCAACATATTACTATCTAACCGAACTTTAATTTTGTTTAAACAAAGTGTTATAGAGTTGTATAATTCCCTTCAATCAAAACTACAGTGTCATTAATAGGGCAGGGATTTCATTCCCTAAAAAACCTTAAAATATGTATGCATTCATGCCTTTAAAAATTACCAAATATGCTATTAAAATATGCACAAAAAAAAAAAAATAAATAAATAAATAATAGTATTTAATAAAAACCTTTTTATTTTAATATGTAGACATAATTAATAAAATTTTAATTTAGAGTAAAAAAACTTGTCATAATAAACAATTGATTTTCTTCTAACACCCGAGTTCTAGTCTAAAATAAAAAAAAAACACTTTTTAAAAAACGTTTTTAAATTTAATATATTTGTAAATTGTTTTAATTAATATTGTATTTATTACCTTGAGCATATATAAAAACCATAAATTTAATATTTCTGGTCTAGGAAATTGATCTAAATTTAAAATTGTTTGTATAAAATATTTATATAATTATAAAACTACCATTTTCATATTAAAAATGCTCAAATATGCACTTATAATTAAAAAATGGTCAAATATGTAAAATATGCAACTATAAATTTTAAATATAAACTCATATTACCATGAAACAAATTTCTATATTAGCTATGTTTTGATATGTTTTGAATGATTATGGAAAAACATGCAAACTCCTAGAAGTCCCTAGCCCTAGTCATTAACATTAAAAATAAGTTAACTATTTATTCTTTGATTGAAAAGATTATTAACTTAAATTATGAGTAAATAAGTCTTAAGGATTTTCCTCTATACCATAGAAATCTAGTTTATCAACTAATATTTTTTGGTGAACAGAATCAAAAGCTTTTGTAACATCTAAAATATTTCAATTACCTTTATGTTACATCTTTAAGTTAGAGATGTTCTCTCATGCTGTGTAAGCAAATTTGATAACCATTACTTTTATATGCAGTCCCTGTGTAGGGAAACTGTGCTAAGATTAAATATAAATATTTCAATAAAAAGTTCTGAGGACAATATTAAATGCCCTGTGGTTTGTACATAATGCTGCACTGCACATGTACTTCCAGCTTCCTTCTATAACTGTTTACATAAGACTATTAGTCATCAACTTCTTTAACCCATAAATTCTGCTAGCAGTGTGAAATACTAAAAACTAAGTGTCCCACTTTCTGTATGACATCTCGAGTGTAGACACCCAAACAATCTACTTTAAATTTTTTTTCTTTTATCTTATCTATTGTAATTCTAAATGTTTATTCTGTATTTCTGTCACTAATTATAGTTAAAACATTGATTAATGTAAAACAAATAACAATGTATAGCATCATTCTTTACTGACTTAGTAAATATTTATATTTACCATTTTCTAAGTGTCATTGAATTGTATTTTGTTAAATTTAAGTTTTGATAACTAATGTCAGGAAAACTTTAAAAGAAAAATAAACCTTGTTATTACCCAGGTTAGTATGCACAAAATTAGAAAACTTAATTAATGCATCTATAAATTTGTTGTAAATTTTTTTTTTAAATATTGTTCAAAACTGTTGGATATTGAAAGGGTCAATGAGACAGGTCTGTATAATTACTACATTGTTTTTTATCTTCAGTTTTATATTGTAAAAAAATAAAAAATCAATTTTTTTTTTTAAAACAATGATAGAAAATACCAGTTTATCGCAAGGTAAATTAAAGACAGGTAATGAAACATAAGCAATGTTATTTTTAAAACTTTATAAGATAAATTATATTCATAAATGTTGATATTCTTTTAGAATATTTATATAGTACATAATTTCTTTAGGAGATAAAAATATAATATTAAAAATAAAAGAATTCTTGTTAAGGTTTTTGAAATCAGCCTTATTAAATCTTTTTCCAATTATTTTATTAGAAATGTTTTTGGTTCACATAACAAAAAAATATTAAATTCATTGGCGATTTCCTTTTCATCATATAAGAGAGTAGAATTATTATTTTTTGATTGATATTCCGAATTCCAATCACTAATAATTTTATTTTTTCCAGTAACTTCATTA